GGCCTTCTCTTGCCTTTTAAGGTATCTCTGGCCTCACGGGCCACTACAGACCTCAAACAGGACCAGTGATTCCTAGAGGTTCACTTACTATGGATCAGCTCCTGTCACCAGGTTAGGGGTCTAGGCCTAGGACAGAATGACAGATAAACTTAGAAAGCCAATCAGTAAAATTCAAATCCTGCTCAGATCAGGATGGTCCCCAACAGCATCTTGTTGGGGATCACAAATTCAGAATGGCAATTGTTACCTATTTTGCTATGGGATAAACAGAAAAATTAGGGTTATTGGTACCACCTGTCTTAGATTTCCCTTTGACTCTTTTCAGCAAAAGATCATCTAAACCTTCATGAGTCATCTCAGGTTCAAACTTATGGTCAAGATGTTTCTGAGCATAAGATTATCTACACATTCTTGAGTCTGACTTTTAGGGTGAATTGTGATCATTAATGAGCCCCACCTATGACTGGATACACCAAATAATGTGAGGCTTCTTTGGGACTGAGGAAGGTGGATCCAGAGATATTGACTTCCCAGTCATTGTTGGAATGGTAGGCTTTTCTCTGTATTTTATTTTCATTTCCTCACCACATTTTTGAGACTGAAAATTCAGACTCTTTGCTTCATTTCAGATATTGACAATAGGGACACTTGGTCTGGTTCCCCATAGCATTTTCGGGTGGTGGTGGGGTTATGTATGATGTTCATTATTGCACAACAGATGAGATACCTGTATCCTAAGAAAATATTGGCCCCCATGTCATTAGGAATATTTTTGCATGTGAGTCTTTATTCTGCTATCAACCCTTCCTCATCATTATCAGATTATAGGATGTTGCTTCATGTACAATTTTATCATGTTGCCTACTGAACCTAGAAAATTCAGAGCAATATACATGAGTTTTAGTGAGAAATGCAGTTTCTAATTTTTAGTCTGCCAAAATTGAAGTAGTGAAGCCTTTTCTCAATTCATCTTATTTTCCTCTTTATTTGCTTACTGTATGTAAACCTTACTCTGGCCAGGGTCACTACTTGTTGTCTTCACAACATCTTATATGCATTTTCTCCAGCAATGAGAAAGCAGCCTTTTCCAGGTCTCCCACTCAAATAAGTTCTGCAGACATCTTGTTTGTCACAACCTAGATAATTTGTGAACATTTCACAGACATTTTGGATTATTTTTACAGGCCTATGAAGTCTGTATGCAATTAAAGACTTGAAAATATACGTGTATTTTTTTTTTTCAAAACAAGGTGTCACTACATGACTGACACTCAACTGGAACATGTAATCCTCATGCCCCAGATTTATAAACAGCTCACATTGCAGTTGCTGGTAAAAATACCCACCATGGTATATTTAATTCACACTTTCTTTCCTCTTCGAGTAGTGAGGGATAATATCTACTTCTAGGCAATATATCCTGGCCATTTTGTAATATGATGAATTCTCTAAACAGAAAGTGAAATTTCATTGCTCATTTTCATTTGCTTATCTTCCTTAATTGTGTGCCTGTTATTTTCATGCATCAGCATCCTAAAACATAAGCTGGGCATTGTTGTTCATGGCTGTAATCACAGCATCAGGAGGCTGAGGCCAGAGGATTGTTGTGAGTTTGAGACCGCTCTGAGCTACAACATGAGCTCACGGCCTGCCTGAACTGCATAGAGACCCTGTCTCAAAAAGACAAAAAAAATCCTAAAAAAGTTCCTCATATCATCTGTTCATTTTTGGGATAAAAATTTATATTTTTTGATAAAACTGATTTTTGACCTGATCTACATATTTCATCCTTACTCCAGGACATTTTTCCAATTGAAGTGAATTTCAAATATTATAGTGTTTGTTGTGTGTAAAGCCTATATGTATATATATTTAAAATAATTTTATGTTTTGTAGATTTGCAACATTATATTTGACAATTTGATCAACTGTAAATTAGAAAGTTTTTTCCCTGATGCATTTTATACAGTTAGCAGATTTGTGTTTCATATATTGTCCTGAATTTGCCTGCATTGACTATATCCTTGTATGTTCAGTAGCATTCAAATGTACTTGGATTAAAAATCAGTAGTTCTTTTTACCCATAATGACATAATTAATAGCCTCTTTCTTTGCATTTGTACTGGCAGTCTTGTCACGTTTTTTGTTTTAAAAACAGCAGAAATATTTCTGAATTCTTCTTGTAAGTTTAATGTATGTGCCTGTTGCTCCAGGTTACAATCTAAATAACTAATTCTTAATTGGACCAGGGAATGTCTCCTCTCTTTCCTTCTTTTATTCAAAATTTCTGTAACATAGTATTAGCCTCTTAGAAGAATTTTTGTTCAATTTTCAATGGATTTACTGTTATTAGAAATAAAATTATATTGATAAAATTTTGTAAAGTGGGTAAAACAAAACATACTAAAACATAATAAAACTAATAAAAAGAAAACAATGCAAATGACTGAGAATTTCAAACCAAACAACAGGTGCTCAACAGTGGCTACCATCATGTCTCTTCTTTACTTTAAATAGTTGTCTATATTTTCACACACAATGAATTCATACAAAACAAAATAGTATAAATGTGATCAAACCAGAAGACTGAAAGCATTACAAGCCTTCAAAACCAGACATTAGGAAAATGAACAATGGCTCCTGTAATGTCTTGTCTTCTTCAAAAGAGCTATGCATACTGAAGATCTAAATTGAAGAATTCATATTATTTCATGTATTATCACACGCAAGGGTAATTATTCATCCTGCATTTAGATCATCTACAATAGTATTTGTTGTATTATTGTACATTTCAAAGTTTTGCAGTTTTCTTCTTTTTCTGCATATTGTGTAGAAGAATCTACCAAGTAGGATACAGGAAAACCTAATGGTGTCTGAGTCCATGTTCCAAAAACAGAAAAAGAAGTAAGAAAAAATTAAAATAATTTAAAAATTTTTTTACCTGAGTTACAATTGAGTTACCTAAAATTGAAATTACAGAATGGTGTGCTAGGAGCAAGCTGGTCATCTCATGACAAATTTGAAGCAGTGACAAGCACAGAGTTATAAATGTTACCCACAGTACTAGTGCATACCTCCCATGACCTCCTTTTCATATTGATGATATGTTACAAGGCATCAGTCACTTCACTAAATGATGAAACTAATTGATGCATTTGGAATATTATATAGGAGAGACACCTAACTGAATTTTATTTGTTTTTTTTTATGTATGTATTTATATACTTGTTACTTACAGGGATGAATTACTTGAGACACAGAATTTAAGAAAAATAGGTTCATTTTTTCTCCTTGTCTCATGATGCAGTTTGCTTTATGCTGTTTCCAATATAGAAACACCTTGGCAAATAGAAATAAAAAAAATCGGTAACTTACTTTGTGATCCTCAGAAGCCTAAGTATAGAATGAGCCAAAGAGAAAGGATGCAGGGATAAGATTTAGTGGATCATATCAAACTCATGATTAACTCACACGACACATTTAGACACATGCTCTTTTAATATCCAATGCATATCCTAAGCTAAATGAGTTAACAAAAGTATCACATGACTCCAGGCAATATGTTCCTTCTAAGAATATTAATTTCTTGAAAGAGGCAAATTTTAACTTGTGAGGAGAGTACTACAGGGCATGAGAAAATTATAGTCTGATGTTCTTATGATGTTCTGCTCATGAAAAGCAAATGGTTCAGTGGATGAGCAGTGGCGCTGCACCTCTGACCCTCTAGTGTCCAATATTTTTGTTTTCAGAAATGAATGAGGTGGGCTTTGACCCTGGATGAGCAGCAATCTTGTGTGGAAGAGATGCAATGTTTGCTTTTGTTTTTGTTTTTTGGTTTTTTTTTCTCTCATACAGAATATTGCTCTGATTTAATCCTAATGTTTGGTTTTCCTTTTATGGCTTAAATATTCATTTTTTTCACCTGAAAATTAACAGATGGAAAGAGATAGTGCAAAAATCTCCAGAATGAAGCCAGTTATGTCATTTCCAAATACAGATCTTTCAAAGAGCCAGTTGTCCCTCTGTTGTACTGTGTCTCGGGGTGGCCTAGATTCAGGTTGTTTTCTGACATAGGGAGATTGCTTCTTTACTAGACTATTGGCCCTTGAACTGTTAAAGGCAGCTGAGTTAGTTAAAATACTATAGACAGTCAGATAGGGCTGAGCCCTCAAAGGAGGCAGAGCAGAAATTCAGACATCTTGAAGCCTTGCAAGAGACAAGCTCCTCTAGCTACGGTCCAGATCTCAAGACAAAAGGCACAGCAAATACAACCATTTCCTAAGCATCTACAGTCCAAATAGTTTTCTGTCACCCTGAGGAAGTTAGGAGTCAGTATCCCAACCCCTACAAGAACAGCCAGTGCTGCTTAGTGTGCCCACTTACTAGGAGGGTCACTCCATTTGTTCCAAACTTAATCAATTGTACCTGAGTCTTACTAGTTCCCAATTCCCGCACCTTGGACACATTTAACCTCATGATTTTACTGTATATAAGGCCCTAAAACGAGAGAGTGTTTAGCAATCCACTCAAGATCCCTTCTCTGTCTTGCAGACAGAATCTTTCTTTCTCTCAATGAATATAACCCACTATTAACCTCTCTAGTTCCTAACCTTAATTTTAGCTAACACAAACTCATACTTGACATACAGAAGTTTAGAACCTTATGAACACAATTGTGACTTTTAACTTGTGAGGAGAGTACTACAAGACTCAAGAAGAGTCTCCACGGATTCCTATAAGAAAATAGAGTCAAATCTGAGACTTCAGAGTAAAGTCTTTAAATACAAATGTTATTAGGTAGGCAAGATGAGTTTAACATTTTATAGGAGAACCTGGTTCAGAAGTCTCAGCATTAAAGACTTGGACTTGAGCCCCACTCTTTCAGGTTAATATTTATTTCCTTTTTCCCGCTTGGCTCAGAGGGCGGGTAATAGAACGTAAGTCAGTCAGTGAAAAAGGAGAAAACTGTATAAGCTGTCCAATCAGAGGTGGCAAAGGAGGCGGGCTCTTCCGGTGTCATGGCGCCAAAGAACTTTACCGTCCTACATTGCAGAGTGTACCCTCGCTGGATACGCTGCTTTGTGTGAACTCTACAAGCTACAGCCTGTATAGGAAATACCCTAGGAGACCCTCAAGCTGCGCAATGGTAACGTTTTGGGACGGAAAGACCGAGGTGGGGTGGAATCTGGAAGAGGTCCAGTCAGAATTGACCAAACTAACTGTAGGCTTAGAGCCTGTGATGTATACAGTTCAGTGGCACAGTGCCTTCCTGATAAGTGCGACATCCTGAGTTCGAACTCTGGTACCAAAGGAAAAAAATCCCTAACTGTGGTGCCTGGCTTCCCCCATGTTAGCTCTGAAAGAATTTTCAGCGTGGCTAAAAAGATAGAAATATGAAATAAAAGTGGCCTTTATTTGAAGATCGGTGAGAGAGAACCCCACGACCACTGAGGTCTGGCTTTTCTCTCTGCCAGGCACGTTTGTAGGGGCATACACATAGGTTAGGTTTGGGTGGTGCCTAAGGGGCCTTACTGATGCACAAGTAGCCTATTGGAATTCATTTCGCACCACAGGTAAATTGCCTAGTGACCAGGAAGATGACCTCAAGAGAGAGCCCCTTGTTTCCTCCTCTCAGCCTCCCACCACTGCAGCATCCCATTCAGAGCAAAATCTTTTCAAGCTCCAGATCCTGATGTAATGTGAGATGGGTGTTGAGTCCGTTTTTGCTCCTTTCCCCCATTGCTGATAGAAGGGAAAGAAACTCAGGACTTACTAGATGTCCCTATTCCAACAACAACGACATTTTCTGGTCTTCTTTTTTTTCTTTTGAGACGGGGTCTCTATGCATTTCAAGCTGGGCTTGGATTTACTTTGTAGCCCAGGGTGGTCTCAAACTCGCAAAGATCCTCCTGCCTCAACTTCCTGAGAGCTGGAATCAAGGGCATGAGCCACCACCATGCCCATCTGAGAAGTGCGATTTTTGTAGGAATTTTAGAACAGCAGAACCACAAGGTGAGGCTGTGGAGGGGGATGGGAACTCGCAATGCAGAGAAGCCTGAGATGGGCTAGAGAGAATTACAGTCAGTCAATAAGATTATGAGTTAATTGCTCTGGTAAAATTGAGGAAATTGAGATCCAATAGGGAAGGTTGTAAGGGGGACAAGGGCCTTTGCTGTAGGGAGTTGCATTAGTGGCTTCTGTCTACCTCAAGGTGATAGATCCCTATTGAGTATATCAATCCCTGGTGTTTATACTACTGTGAGGTTCTGTCTGTTTTGTCTTTTATTTTGAGATCTGGCCCACAGGGGAAAAAGTGTTTGTTACTTTCATAAGTTGCACTATATTGGGTCTTCTGCACTGGCTCCATTGAGGGCCTAGTCCTCTCTGACTCCCTATAATATTACTATTTAATTCAACTGATTATGACATTGCTAGAACAAGACCAGTTTGGAGTTCTCAGGACCTTTTGCCCAAAGTTACACTGCCAGTCTGAATGCCCTCTTGAAAAAACCATTGCTACCTTTGTGTCTGCACCATTATGGGAAGAGAAGGAGTCTTGGGGAGATCCAGGCTAAAATGAAAATTGGAGTTGGATGCAGTGATGGTGAGCTAGATATCTGGTTTCTTGCCAGTTAGCAACACTGCTGGAGGATTTTCAGGTTATGAATATCTCTGATGTTTGCTTTTCAACACTTGTAGTGATCTTGTAAATTTCGACTACCACCCTTGATTTCTAAACTCATATTATATACTAAGAAATGGCTTGAGAATTCAAAAACATGTGGTGATGTGCTCCAGTGGAGGAGCACCTACCTTAAACCTGGTGAATTGCTCTATATAGAGCAATGCTAAAGAAATTTAAAATTTTAATTATTTAGCTGACAATTCCATTCACAATTAGTTTAAGTGAGTTCCACCACAGAGTTAGAATACTGAGGAAATATTAGTGGAGATCAAATTCTTAGGAAAGAAAGGAGAAAGGTGTACCTGCCAGAGACAACTTTCAGAAGCAGTGCCTATTAAACCCACATTTAGAGACACCTTGAATTGTAGCATTTCCATGGACATATATGTGTGATATGTGTAGTAGTGGAAAGGAACCAGGGCATAATTTCTGTATTAAGGGCTATAGTTCTTGGTCTAATTGTTACATTTTTAAAATTAAAAATGCTGCTTGTGATAGACTTTAAAATTAGTACTGGAGTAAGGGAGAAGCCTGAAATCAAAGTAGTGCAGTGTATCCATGTTTAGGGAGTCAGACTTGTGTGCTTGCTTGTTCTGTGAGGTGGGCAAAGGTCAAAGGCTTGAAGAAAGGAAGGGAATTTAATAATAAGTAACTGTGCCTTCTGCTGCTACTGATCAGTTCATGGAATCTTTTCTGAGGCAAAATCTGAAACGAGGCAATTGCTTGGTCTTGTTTTGCTTTAAAGTTATTGTGGACACCATAGCAGAAGTAGAATGGTGGGAGTATCTCCAGTGTGTCAAATATTTCCAGATCATCTTGATGATTAATTTAGTAATTTGTTTTTTGAGACAGAATCTCACTTTATAGCGCAGGCTGGCTTCAAATTCATTAAAACTTGTTGCCCCAGCCTCATTAGAGCTGGGACTACAGGTATACACCACCCTGCTCAGCATGCTTGTTTGTTTGCTTGTTTGTTATTGTAGGGACTGAACTCTGGAAGTTTAGTCTGAGCTAAGTTTTTAAATTTTCTAAAAATTTTTTTGAACTGATCTTTCTAAGTTGCCCAAAGTAGTGTGAATTTTTTATGGTGCTTGTAACACATTTAATGTGTATATTATAATACATACATTCACTGTATCAATTTAAGGTTAGGATGTTTTTATAAACCATGATATACCAAGGTTTGAATGCTTGGATAAAGTAAACATCAGTGATGTATGATAGTTCACACCTTTACTCTTAGCCACTTGGGGACTATGACAAGTGTTACAACAACTGGCATGAAGAAGTCAGTGTGACTCTCTTTCAATACAAAATATGAATTCTGGGATTTATCACCAATACATAGTAACTTGTTCAACATTCTCTAGGCCCAGTAAAAAACCTTTCTGATAAATACAGGAAAATTATTTAATGGAAATTTTACTTTATGTTTCAATTTTATTATTTTTGTGCACTAGTGGTTTATAGTATAATGCTTGCTCATGATGGATGACAGCATTGATGAATCACTGCTCTTCAGCAACAGGACACTGATGCTGAACAACTAATGATTGCAATGGGCTATATTCAGTGATATCCATGAGATTTTAGTATTTTGTTATGAAGTTTGGATCATGTTATCTGTATATCCCCAAACACAGATTAAGCAAATGTGTTGTGCAAACTTAGGATCCAATGTATAGAAGTAATGTTTGCTCAACTGGGTATATTCTTTCACATTCAACACATTTCATTTTTAACATTATTTGTGTTGATCGTCCTATTTCTTTCTCTTTTTTTTGTTTGATCATCATATATTTAACTCTAGTTTTGTCACTAGATTCATACCTTTTCATGTTCTCTATAGAATATGTTACTTATGGTTTCTTGTTTTGAGTACTATATTAATTGGACTCTCCAAAAACAACTGAATGAGAAGAATAACATGAGTAGTGTTTGGAAAAAGGAACACTGTGAATTTTGAGTTCTTTGCTTTGTTTTGAGTTGTTTTCATGTTGATGATCCTTATGAGATGCCCCACTCTGTTCACACTGTGTGGCTTGCATGACCCTAACAATGCAATAGAGCAGAGATTTTCATTGCTGAGACATGAACCTGAGCAGTTTGAACACAAACCACCAACCATGCACCTGGTTGAAGATAAAGCACTTCCATTTGTAGTTCTAATTCATGCTGGTTTGGGGAACTTTGTAATTGTTTTAACTTTGGGTAACCTGTCTTGCCATGCCAGTTTGCTTGCTCATGTAAGCCCACTTTCATTTCTATATTAATGGGCTGAAGGCATGTCTGTCCAGTCCCCTGACATCCAAGGCTCTTTCACCTGAGCAGTGACATATATGGCTCTGGGACAAGAGATGAACATGAATCCCAGTTACATGTTCCATAAGTCAAGAGACTGCAGTCTCTGGATTCCCCTGAGTTCTTTGGGCCTTTACACTCTTTGTGTGTTTGCTGCAGGTGGCTATGGGAATGGCATGTGACACAGCTGAGATACAGCTCCTGCTTCAGTTCAATGCAAAGTTTAGTCTGTCTCAATCTTCCTGTGGGTGTTATCATAATGAATTCAACAGTGGAGGCTGTTGTAGATTTTCACACTAGTGACATCTGAAATGTAGTGCAGGTGATAAAGACATAAGGTGGGTGTGCAAGAACAAGCAGAGAGTACTTTGTACAAACTCTTTGAGCCTATGTTTGAGGCCCAGAGGTAGAAAGAGGAAGCTCTTGGGTCTTTGCTCATTTTTGTACCTGGCCCTTCAGGAGCTGTGTCCACTGCATCTGCTGTCAGACATTTTTGTCAGTGCTAATTCTGCACGTGAGAAAAGCTATATGTCTCAACTTTTTACTTGTAATTATGACACAGGTCATGAAGAAGATTTAGATGTATCTTAGAACTGGCAGTCAAAGATGTTGAACAATGTCACAGAAGAAATGGAATAGACCTTTGTAGAAAGAAATCTTGTGCATGAATATCACTAGTGCTGTGCTTGAGGAACCTGCTGCAGAAGACTTTCCTTTCCATGTTGTACAACTTACCATCATGATTAGAGTATACCGCAAGGCTTCATGTACATTTTTGCACAGGCTCTAGGCCATGGATATGAATAAGCCCTCCACATGTAGAGGGCTTATTCATATCCATGGCCTACAGCCAGTGCAAAAACTCTGCATTGAACTGAAGCAGGAGGTTCATATCTATGGCCTACAGCCAATGCAAAAACTCTGCCTTGAACTGAAGCAGGAGCTGTATCTCAGGTGTGTCAAATGCCAATCCCATAGATTAGAGTGAGCTACGCTCTAATCTCATGTATATATTTTACTGCTCAAATGGGAGTGGTTTAGATTGTTCATCCTGTATTGCAATTGTTTCAATATTATTTTTTACACTTTTTCACTGTTGTGTCTAGGTTTAATTTATCACAGAGATTCCAGTGTTTGTCTCCATAGCATTTTACTTGCCT